CGAGACGGGCGGATCATGAGGTCAGGAGATCGAGACCATCCTGGCTAACACGGTGAAACCCCGTCTCTACTAAAAAATACAAAAAAATTAGCCGGGCGAGGTGGCGGGCGTCTGTAGTCCCAGCTACTCGGGAGGCTGAGGCAGGAGAATGGCGTGAACCTGGGAGGTGGAGCTTGCAGTGAGCTGAGATTTGGCCACTGCACTCCAGCCTGGGCCACAGAGCGAGACTCCGTCTCAAAAAAAAAAAAAAAAAAAAAGAAAAAAAAATAACGTATTTGTTGTTAAGATTGTCTATTTTCATATTTTATTTCTTTTCAGTTTTAAGAGTGGAATCATATGTCTGCAATATTGTCAGAAAATCTGGCTTCTAGAACTAATTCCCGTACAGACTATGTGGATGACTTGTGCAAGCCATTTAGCATCCCTTTTTTCAGTTATCCTCAAATGAGAATAATAGAATCTATCATTTCTGCTTTGTTCTGAAGAGCAAGGTATGTATGCGGACAACCTTTAAGTATATCAAATACTAACAATTATAAATCATTATCTCTGTGTGATACAGAGTTTGCACTAGTGAGTCACTGTGAGTCATGGCTTTTGACTTGTCCATATCTTTTAGAATGAAAGTTAAGTTTCAGTAAATATCTTTCATCCGGTAACTATTCCTGACTATCTCTAAGTATTCCCACACTGGGCCAAATCAAAGAGTATAAAATTATGAGGCACATTTCCAATAATCATTCTGTTTTAGGGCTAGAACTTTATTGTGCAAAATATATTTTTGTAAGTCTTTTTCCTTAACTTTTGCTTCTTTTTTTTCTCCAGGAAGCAAAATAAGTGCTAAATTTTTGTTGCTGCCAAAGTTTAGTTCTACATTTTCCCACATGTATTTTACACAGGTTTATTAATGAGTGAAATGGATTACTTTTTGTTTGTTTTATTCATGATATAAAAATGATATGCACTAGGTCTTGTTTTATGTTTTTGTTAATCTAGATTTTTTCTGGTGGTGTATTTGAAATCTTAAAATTTTCCTAATAAAGTAATTAATGCTAAGTAGCATTAAAGTAACAATAAATGAATTCTTATGACCTCATTGGTATTTTACGATTCTTATACAGGTAAATTAGTTTGCTAGTTTCAACATTCATGATTCAATAATCACAAATACACACAAATTTAAAGCTGGCTTATAAATACTGTTAACCATACAAGACTGCAGGGCCCCAAGGCTTAAATAAAGAAGGGCAAGGGTCAAAGAAAAGGAAAAAAAATGAAAAAAATTTACATAACTTTCCAGTCTCTGGAATTTTCCCCCAGTCTCTTTTTAGCCTGATCATCTGCTTAAAGAAAATAAATTAGGTGCTTCAAAGAGAGGTCAAAGGCTTTATTTAGTCAATATGCATAAGAGAACACCTGGAGACCAGGTAATTCTCCACGTTGAAGCAAAATTGAGCTTTATGGGAGGGGGCTGGGAAAGAGAGCAGTACAAGTCCTTGTGGTTTGGCTCAGTTAGCAGTTTTTTGTCTCTAACTGCTCTGAAAATTGTGGTTACAACAGCTGGAGATTATTCTGGTTTTTCCTGCCTCTCATTCGGTATCATTGGGACAGTTCCATCTCTGTAACTGCCAGGATACTTATTTTGAGAGCTGTTATTTGCAAGCCTTGTGGTTTGTTAGTTGGTCAAGGTTCAAGAGGGGGAAAGTAGGAGAGAATAAAAAAACCAGGGAGGCAATGAAAAAATTCAAGAAGGCAAGGGTTGAAGGTTATGGAAACTGTGGACTCTCCATTATGTTTTTCTTAATCCTTTTGCACGTCTTTATCTAAAAGTCTGAATTTCTTTGCTATCAAATACTATAAATGATCACTTTGGGTCGAAAAAATATGCTAGAAGTTAAGGAAAGGCTATGAAGTTTATAAATTCTTTGAATCTTTCCACAAGACTATGTTTTACCGCCCCTTTCAATTATACTCTGTAAGTCAGTTATCAGCAGTGATTTTATTCATACTAAGCGTGTGCATAACTAGTCTTAATGCTCGGCCATTTATACAATACAGAGGGCCTAGCTCTGGATGTCCATTGGAAGGAAGTTATTACATGGTAAAACTAGTGACTCAGTTACAGAAAAACATTGCATCCCAAAACGCATTAGAGAAACAATTCTTCCTCTACTGCTTCTGGTAAATTTCACTAGTTTGAATAGATCTGAATTCACATATGGTTTCAATAAATACAAATGATAGAGAAGAATGGAATGGACTAATAACTTGAGAACAAACTTCTCAAAGTTTGAAAACTAACAAGAGTTTTGCTGATATTCAGTCTTACTCTCCAGAGCTCAAAGGAAAACTTTATCTACATTGTAACACAATGTTTTAATTTACAAACAATCTTCATCTACAACTATCTATTTTTTTCTTTCTTTTTTTTTTTTTTTTTTTTAATCCAGCTCTCTTTGAAAGAACCAAAGGTCTTTGGCATCAATTCCTGTTTCTTTCCTATATAGCTAGTGGATACTGGCCCTATTGTTTCCAGAACAAAATTTCTCTTACCTTTTCTCAAAGTGTTTGTTGGAACTCATTATTGACACCTCAGTATTTCAGGACCAAAACACTGCAAAAACATTTGAAAACTATCTCAGCATTTATCTAACTGAATGTGTCTTTACTTCATTTCCTTTTTATAAAAGTAATGTTTATTGAATTTTGCATTAATTGTACCGGAATGTGTTAACTGGTAAACTCTGGAAATGATTCTAACTCTTCTTGATTAGAATGACTAGACTTTGAATCAGAACCTTTCTGGGGTTCTTGCTGTTACAGAAAATGTATGAAAAAGATAGTAATTTACCACCATGTGCCTTATAATTAAGTTAATCGTTGTCAGCATGTAGCTATAAACCAAATACCAATTAGTCCTATTTGTTTATCCATGGACTTTTCTGGTTGCCTTTGAGTTAAAGTTTCTTATTTGGGCAACTTAGAACCTCCCTCAGTGTGCATGGGAAATGTTATTTTTTTAAAAAAAAAATTCTAAAATGTGCAAATTAAATGCATATTTATTTTCACTATACAAATGAGCTGAACTAAGTTCTTATTAGCAGAAGACAGGTTTTGTAATGATTAAAATGTAACAAATTTAGGCGAGAAATCTGTCAAATGCCTCAACAGTCTATGAATGCTGGTTAGGTATCATTAGAGATTCAGTCACTGTTTAACAATCTATTAATTCCTATAACTTCCTGTATTTAACAAAAGCCTATTTTTCCAAATTGAAGAAAACATATATATCAAAATGAGCTGCATTGGTAAATTACCATAGACACAGAAAAAGCCATATGCCCATGCTGAGAGAATTATATTATCCAGAAAATGAGTCAAACATATATTGGAAAAGGTACCCAGGAGCAGACAAAGCAAGTCACACACATACAAAGAGACCCACAAAAATTCAGAGAAACAAAAATTCAGAGAAACAAACATAATCAGAAAAATCAAAACCAAAGCAAAACCAAGACATATTCCCACTCAAAAAATATCTTAGATTGGAAAGAGCCCTACAGAAATATAGTAAGTGTTCATCGAAATCTGTTTTCTCACCTTCTGGGAACACGCTTAGACTATATTTCCCAGATTCCCTTGCAGATGTGACCATGTGACTGAGTTCTAGAGAATGGAATGAGAAAGAAAGTGGTGAGTTGCATTTCCAAGCTTTGCTCACAATGACCTCCTATGTCCCTTTCTCCTCTGGCTGAAGGGGAAGGATGCAAGCTCTACAGGGACCTTGGAAGGTGTGTGTTAAAGATGGCAGAGCTGCTGTGAGCCTGGATCCCTGATATGGACCCAAGACCCTCCTGAACTCCCTTTTCTTCCACTTGCCATCCACCTTGGACTGTTAATGGAAAGAAAGAAATACCTTGAACTATTATGTAAAAAAAAACATTTGTTTCCTCAGTATTTGAGCCATTATACATTTTAAACTATGACTTTGACCTAGAATAACTGAACTAGAAGAGTGAAAGAGATGTAAACCTAAATGATACTTTTCTGTCTTCTGGTCACCTTTTCTATGTCCTTCAAAGAATGTTAGATCTCGTGGAGTTTAAGAAAATGCTTTGATAGAATTCAGCTACCATAAGGTCTTTGCATTACAAGCCAAACTACAGGACTCAGTGAAAGAGATAGGATAGGTAAGTAAAAATAGCATTAGACTAGAAATTAAAAGATATTATTGCTATGCTTGATACTTCCTACCTGATGATGTAGATGAGTGACTTATTCCTAACTAGAAATTCTATTTTCACATCTGTAAGATGAGAGCACTTAAAAAATGATCACCAAATATCTATAACATCATAGTTATCATTCAATGATTCTACAATTCAAAAATCCCAGATTATTGCAGAGATACTATTTTGTAAAACAGACAGTAAAATTAAAGAAAGTGAAAAATTACACCTTAGGCTTTATTTTTGTTTTCAATATTTTCTGGGAGTTGTAAAATCAGCTTTAACCCTAATCTAATCCTGAGCTAGTACCGATCGACCGTCCTACTTATTATAATTGTAAAACAATAGGGTAATCTGGACAGTTTCTAAAATTATTACACATCTAACGCACCATGATACTAGGAGATAGCAAGTGCTAATCCTCAGGAATGATTTGTTTATTGGAAGCTTTGTTAAACATACCCTGCTTCTGTGAACAAAAGACTAAATTAGAAAATTACCTGGATTTTGAAATACGATCTGTGTGATAATGAGCAAGTTGCTTAACCTCTCAGAACCTTATTGTCTTCGACTATAAATGGGGGTTAACACTGCCTCTGCTGTTGTTACAAAGATTCGGTGAGATAGGAAATGTGAAAGCTCTTAGTTCAGCCCTTGCCACACAGTAGCTGATCAGCATATGTGCTGGCTTATTCCCCAGCTTACGGCACAGTGTAGAAGGGTGTGCCAAACAGCACGCCCAGCTCTGGCCCAAACACTTTCTAGTCACTATGAAACATTCAAGATGGTTAACAGAGGCTTACATATTGGCAGAGCATGCAGGTTGTGACAGAAAGATCAAATGGAGGTAAGCCATTTTAAAACTGACAATGATAGTGGTTGAATATTTTTTTGGACTTATATAACTTTAGCTTATAGAAAGAATGAAAATAATTGCTTTCGTTATTATATTCTAATATTAAGCAACTCTTTGCTTTAAAGGTGGTAAAGGTAATTAACATGTCCTGATCGTCTACTACATGCCAGAGGTGCTTCTTTCTTGGTTATAGACTTTAATCTGAATAATAAAACTTTCAAGGTAGGTCTCTCAGTCCCGTCATTTAGGCAAGAAAATAGAGGATCAAAGAATCTAAGTGCCTTACTCTGGCCAATCTGATGAACTCAATGTAGAATGAAAACCCACACATAAAGCTAAACCCAAATGTGTCTGGCTTTGAAGACCATTTTCTTTTTACCACATTGCATTGACTTTCAATAATAAAGTCTACAACACCTCCAGGTTGTTGTGCTTTAATTCACCAGCAATTATTGTGCTCATTGTTTCTATAAAAAGAGTTCATGTATTAAAAAATCGGAAAACCAAATCCCAGAATGGGGATGTGGGAGTAGTACATACAGCAACTCTTGGCTTACTAATCCTCTCTAAGTGGTGCTTTGCATTGTGAAGAACGTAATTGTTCCAAAATATTTCAGTATACTTATTTCTTGGCAAAAAGTGAGGAGGTAGTGGGAGCATTCTGATGTGTGTTGAAGTCCAATATAACATGGTGAGCATAGAGAGAAAACAAGACAAACTTTGTTGTGACAATTTCTTTGCATGATGTCATTTGGTTTTTGTTAGTAAAAAGCTATCGGTGACATCTGTTTATCCACTTGTGAACAAGACAAGGCCAAATTTTGCACCAGGTTTCTCTGCACAGGCTACTAAAGGAAGGTCTTTTGCAAGTGATGATGTGTCAAAAGTCACAAAAAACTGTTAAAATTCTACTTCTGCTGAGAAAATAGTGTACTTGAAGGATATGTGGGTGAAATGTATTAAATCCAGATGAGAGTGGTATTTTTGTATCCATTAGCAACAAACGCCCAAGAGAATGAAATATTTAACTTAAAGAAAAGATTGTTTGTGATCAGAATGGCAATTTCTTCGAGAAAGGCCTAAATGCAGACAACAATACCACCTGGATATGCCTCTAAATTTTAGTTTCCACTATCCGTCTGAATTATTGCATCTGCACAAAAAGATGACTTCGGAGAAAGTTTTACTGTTATGTCTGGAAAGAATTTCTTCATGTGTCAACAATGTTCTCTTAAGAATTGTTATTTGTAAAACTTTCAGGAATTGCTGTCATCAAACGTACAAACTAATCTCCTTTTTAAATGATGGGTAATTTTTGAAATATCCTTGTAGTTTTGGCTCAGCTCAGCAGAGTTTCTACATATGCACCATTTGTGTACCACTGGGCTTCATACTCAAGTCAAGGTAGGTTTCCATGTGTTTGCCCATTGCATGCTTCTATTAGAAAACTCAACTGAAGGAATTAACTAGGTGAAATCCTTGGGTAGGGATTGTGACTGAAATGGGTGGTTTCATCTGCATTGATACTAAATCATTGAGGTTCTTTTTTTATTTCTTTTTTTTTTTTTTTTTACAATTCCACAAAACAGCCATTTGTACTGGGCTCAACTGAAAAATCATTCTGTTGATCTCCCTGAGATCACTCATGCGGCTGCAATCATTTGTTGGCTCTGCTGAAACTGAATGATCTAAGGTCAAATCATCCATGTATATGGTAGTTGGTTTTGGCTTTTGGCTCGGGCAGTGGGGCCAAGGGAGTCATTTGTTCTCTCATATTTCAGTAAACTAGTCCAGGCTTCCTCGCATGATATCCCCAAAGGAGCAAAACCAGAACACTCCCATCTAAAGAATGACATCAAAGTGTTCTCTATTCTTGTTACTATTAATTTCTGCTCAAGTGTTTGCATTCCTCTCTTTTGTTTCCTCCAACCCACCAAAACTTATTTTCATTTCTTAGAGCGCTTTGCCCTCTTTTCTTTTGCATATGCCTTCACCATCCATCAGGGAAGGTTGTAGAGATTTGTGGGCAGTTTATTCAGGAGAATTAGGATATTATCTATTTGGATTATTTATGTAATCAGATGTATCATAAACACACTTTTATTTTTCTCCTACAACTGTTTTCCTATTATACCTTCTTTCCTACCCTACCGGATAGTATCTTCTGTAAGTCTCCCAGCCTTCAGGTATTGGAAAAGCAGTATTTTCAGGTATTAAGAAGTCCAATCAGAATTGAACAAAAGTTTTATTTCACTTCTAATTTAAAACTTCACTTCTTCCACAAACTAAGACCTGAATCTCTAATATCTATCAGCATTGGACAAGAGAGAAGCAGTCAATCATTCATCCTCCAAGGATGAAAAGGAAGATGGGACGATCGAGAATGAGGAAAATGGCAAGATCTTTCTTAATTGGTGCCGTGTGATACAACTTCATTGCAAACTGTGTGGCAGACACCTAAATATCAGCTATTTCTCTGGCAAAGCTTTCTCATGGGTTATTCCTACTGAGAGAAAACTTTACCCACCAATTCTTGAACAGGGCAGTGCCTCTTCAGCTGACTTCTACATAGTTGACATTCTTAACAGTCCATTTCTTTTAGAGTGAGTCATGGTGGCAGCCACCTCCTGAGTGGGGTCTTTTCAAGAAGGCTGGCTTTGGCTGCTTTCTTTACTGACCACTCTACCCCACAGGTACCCGGACTTAACAAACTCTGGGAATACAGGCCATTCCTACTGTCTTTCTTCTGAGGCAATGTCAACCAGTCTTTCTCCTTAAGCCTTTCAAAGTGAGAATCAAGAACCAGTCTCTATATATTCAAACTTCAGACAAAGATCAGTTCTTCCAGAATCTCCTGCACTTTTCTTTGCTCTGGTAGCACCCTGAGATAGGCCTGAGTTTCTAAAGCATGAAAAGCATCCCAATGAAGTAAGATGTCAATCTTCCTTTCTGGTGAGCATTTTACTATCTGGAAAATGATTTTCTAGCTTCTTCTCTGTTTGATTTGCATCGGAGCACCTCCCTTCTCTTCCACAAAAGGAAGATAAAATGCCTCAATGCTATAAATGAGAAAGGCCTATTGAACAGCCTATGACTTAAATATTTATCTACTTAGCATTTTCCCCCTTTGCACACTTAAGTTCAATTCCTAATGTAGCAGGCTTTCTGAAGTAACTATTGCCACTGTGCCTTGTTTATCATTTGTCCATTCTATGTGGCTTTATATATTTGTATATGCATGATGATGCATACCAGGAGACACTTTTCTCAGCCTAATCAGAAAAACATAAGATTCTTTTTACTAGGTTGTATTTTGTGATTGGTGCTGCCAACATTAATCTCTGTGGGATTCGTGTTTCTTGGTTGCATTAAGCAAGTTTCCATGCTTACCAATGCTTTTCTGTTTCAATTCTCTTTGCCTTATTTCATCAAAATGCTTTTCTCTTAAGACCACTGAGCCTGTCAGACCAGGACTCAGAGAGTTCCTAGTCCTTTAACAAGACACATCCTCCAGCAAGAACAAAGACTGGTGATCGCAGATCTCACAAGAACACAGACTGGTGATCTCAGTTTTCACGTAATCTTTCTGACCTTGCTTGGTTCCTTTGCTACTGGAACACTTCACCACCCAGCACAGCCTGGTGTCCTATTGACTGTCACATCTTTCCAAAGTGCTCTAAACCTTGGGCCATGAGTTTTCACATTTCTCTTGACTCTTGCCAGCTGCCATCTACATTCTCTGAAAACCCCTGTCTAGTATGTTCTCAAGAAAGCTGACTTTAGGCAGAAATGGATAGGATACAAGCTACAATTGTAATTTAAGAGAAAGCAGATTGATGTATCTATTTTGTTTTCCTTTTTTTTTTTTTACAGTTTTTTTTTCCTTTGCCAACAATTATAAGGTAAGAGATGGAAAAATAATATTAAATATGCAAAATTTCCAGCTCTCAGTCACTAAAAACTAAGACAAGATGAATAAATAAGACCACCTTGCACTTTTAACTTATTCTGTACCAGATACGTCTGGATGACGGTATTCAGGACCATACCCAGACATGAGTATAGGCCCTTACTTGTCTATATGAGATGTTAGACAGCAGAGAGGATTGGCTGATCCATTATAAACTCTACCGCTTATCCCTCTACATTATTCTAGCCTGAACGGTATTGAAATCATTCAGTTGTGTTCAGGCAAGTATCCAGACAAGACCAAAGGTGTGGAAAATACTCTCTCAAAATATACTCAGTTGAAATTGTCACAGCCCCAACTGTTGTGGACTACTTTTTTTCTCTTAGATAGAATATACTGCAAAAGTTTTAAATAGAAGCAGAGCTATCTTTCTCAAAATTTGAATAAAATGTTGGGGTTTATCAAAGTCTGAAGTCAACTGAATCTATGTTAAAATGTAAGATAGGTTGTATCAATGGGGGAAGTAATATTTGTAAATGACTTTCTGATCATTGGTCCTCTAGGAAGAGGTAAACCTTTATTTGCAAAGGTAATTCCAAGGCCCTGGCACAGCCTTTCACAATGTGTTCACATGGCTTTATGTTTTTCTAAAATTTGCAAACGTGTGACATTTAGCTGCAATTGTATACATGTATTCACTATTTATTCCTTTACACTCCAACATCCCCTTGGTTGTACTTCGCCTCTGGTCTCGTGGTTTTGGTGTGGCAGAGGCGGAACTAAGGTGAAGGTGAGTTATAAATCTGTTAATTTGGGGTTTGGTGGTTCACGGTACATTCTGTATATAGTTCAGGGATTGCTAGCCATCCATCCAGAGGTAGGAATGTCTTCAGAATACTTCTGCCACCCAGTGCTGACTCACTGGGACTGTGACTGATGCTGCAAGGTCAGATATGGGATAGCTGTGTGAATGTATGTGATGGCATCTGACAGCCACAGTTAAGTAGCTGTAGGTAAGAGTTAACTTCAAATAATATTTAACACTAATTACTGAATAAGAACTCTTGAGGTGTTCTGGAATTACAGCTAATATATGAAAGAATCTTGAAAGAAATTTTTCCAAATTTGATAATAATCTTAAAAGTGTATTTGATATTACCAGCAATAAGGTATGAAGCTGAGAGAACTTTTTCTAAAAACCATGAATAATAAAACATTTCAATCAACAAAAGATTGAGTTCTCTGAGAAAGATTGTATTACCTTACTTTTATTTCTGAAAAAAAAATGGTACAAAATGCTGTCATATGAAGAGGTGATCAAAGGGTACGCGCCAAATGTTGGGGAAAATGTGCATAAAATAAATAACACAAGTGTCTAAGGCACTTTATAAATTTAAAAAGTATTTTTAGTTCTGTGGTGTTTGTGTTATTCATGATTGCTTTCTAAAAATCTATAGTTTTTCATTATTTCCTTTCCTTTCCAGTTTCATAAATAGTTGTTATTGTAATTGAACTTTCTTTTAAAGATGGCCTCACAAATTACATCGGCTTCAGGTCCCAAGACCTGGATGTGCCCCTGCCCCTATGGTATACAGATATATAGACATACATAAAGATGGATGGATGGATAGATAGATAGATAGATAGATAGATAGATAGATAGATAGATAGAAAAGGTGAACAGCTCTCTGTTCACTTCAGCTTCTAGGAAGTAGTAAAATTAGTAAATGCAGACAGTACCCAGACCATAGAGGACTTTATAGATTAAAATCAATATTTCAGTGGAACCGGTTTGCACTTAGGAGCTCACCAGCAGCCAGCGAAAAACATGTAGACAACTCACATAAATAAAGTAATCCTCATAATGGAGTACATGTGAAAATTAAGACATTTAAGACAATTAAGACATTTAAGAAAATGATCTGAAGACGCCAATCCCCTTTGTAGAAATGGTATAGTCTCAGCAAACGCTTGGTATACATTAACAGGATGGTGTGATCTATCTATTCTTTCCTATAATTGACCCTGTGTTCTTAGTGAAAGAGAAATTAATTTAGGAACCATTTGGACTTGGAGAAGATTTAGTCTGTAGATTGATAATTAAGTAACAGTTTTTCAGTTTGAATCTTTTACTATTTTGACACTCAATAAAACTCAAATTTTTTAAAAATAGAAATACCTCTTCTGTATTTTGGGGGTTTTTTGTTTTGTTTTGTTTTGTTTTTATAGGTCTTTTATGATTTCTGGAATGTCATTTGCTATGGTGCTTGAGTGAGATATCTTCATTATCTCTTAACTTCCCAAAAGTTTAAACATTTCAGAGATAACATGATTTTGAATAAAACCCAATTTACAAAGATGTATCTGAGGAGTTATTTTTTGATATTCTTCCACAAGAGAATTTCAGTTGCTAATAAGTTCTGGGCAATGTTTATATTTTGGGATGAAAATATAACCTACTTTATTTTTATTTTTATATAAACAAATCTTTGAAACAACGTTTCCTAAAATCATGACCACACGGCATAAGATTTTTAAAACTCTGGAGGTAACCAAACCTATATTTGTATGCTGACATTACCCCTTCTCAGATAAGAGACCTCAGTCAAGCGGCTTAAATTCCTCAGCTCTCATTATATTTCTATCTAAAATAAGTATCAAAAAGAAACCTAAATCTTAGACCTAAGATGAGGGTTAAATATGATCCCAGATGAAAATGTTTTAACATAGGTCCTTTATAAAATAATTAATGGCATTGTAAAATGCCTTTCAACCTTTTATTTTTAAAGCTAATTAAAGTTAACTTGTTGCTAAAATACCATTCCAAACTTTTGAGAAAAAGTTTTTAAATTAACTGGTATGACTGACACGATATTGAAAATTTTAAAAATAGATATAATGTGCAATACGTGCTGAGATAAGTTATTTTTTCAAAGAAAAGAAGGGAATGAATAGCCAAGCAAAAGTATTTTTCCATTGCAGAATCTACCTCCCTCACCATGACAGTACATCTCAGAGGTAATGGCCCTGAGGATAAGTCAGAGTAATAGGAGCCTCCTCTGTTTTATAGATGGCTTTTAGTGCAATAAGCAAGCAAATGAACAATTTATCTCATTACCATTGGATTTATTGGAGTTTGAGATTCAGACATTCCAATAAGGAAACAAAGACTGTGGCCTCTTCTAAGGGACTCTTACTTAAAATATATTACACGTACACAAACATGTTACACTTCTATTATTTCTTTTTTTCCCACAGGGAAAGAGAAATAAAGGAAATAATTAATGAACAGGATTTTGTTTTGTTCTTTTCAACTAGTATTATTAATAATTGTGTTTCTTTCAAGAAAGAAATAAAACATAAGTGAATTATTATTATCCAAATTGTAATTTGTATTTTTGAATTTAATCTTGTGAGTTTATGCATCTGAATCCTTTTAAGAAAATACTAAAAAAAAATTTTGAATGATATTCTGAAAGTTCTGAATCTGTCCAAATTAAATATTACTGAATAATACTAGCAACTATTACCTTAAAAAAATTATTTTTGTATTGTTTGAGTAATCAAGCACTGTATTAAGTATTTTATTATATTATCTTCTTTATTCTTTAAAATAGCCATGTAAGATGTTAATTTTAACATTTTAAAGCTGAGAAAACTGAAACTAAGATGAGATAAATCTCTTTCCTTAGAGAGCTACCCCAGGAATCGATCAAGTTAAAATTTGTATTTGAACTCAAGGACCTGTTATTATTCTCCTCAAAGTTACTCAGAAAGAACCACACTCCAGGCCATTGTTTGACATAATGATAATAATTATATTTATAGATTCCATTTTGAAACCTAACTATGCCTAGAACTCCACTGAATCCTTTACAGACATGATTTTTAAAATCAGTACAAACACCCTATCATTTGAGTACTTTTATTATTTTCCTGTCTTCATGAAAACTGGATCTTAGAAAAATTGAAAAATATGCTGCAAAGTTACAAAATTTGCCTATCAAACCTACATTCTGTATCACTACACAAGTTGCCTTCGTCATGAAGATTATATAGGTATTGAGACAGCAAAGATGCCATAGTTTTCCCATAAATAGCTCCTCTTGGAGCCATAGGGCTAAGTTATTGTATAAAAGCAAGTAATAGATGGTTTATCCATTAAGTTATTTTTGACTGATCGATGACATAGCTAGGGTGACCCTGGAACATCCAGAGAAGGGACTAAAGAAGAAACACAGAGTTTCAGGGCAGGGCCAACAGGGCTGTGGGGTAGGGAAAAATCTTACTTTAAAATAACAATTCAACTGGGTAAAACATTCAAGCTGTGATATCAGCTTGTGACAAAATAAAAAGCAAGATTAATGTACTTTAAAAAACAAAGTGAAAAACAAACAAACCCTCCAAAAACTTGCAAATGACTAACATACAGAGAACAGGACCTTAGCTTTAGGTGTATTAATAAACACATTCATTTTCTTGCAAGAGATTGATAAATTTTAAAAAGGAAGATATCCCGAGACTTTCTGATGCTGGCAATTTTTCAAATGGTAACATGTTAATTATCATTTTGATAATGTTGCTAGTTCTTTCAATATGATTTAAAAGGTTGGAGGTAAAACACGTTTTTCAAAAATTGCATAGAATTTGCTTAGAGCCACCTGTGTACTTGATGTGAGATGTATAAAGTAGCAGAGTTTTTAATACACTCTCTACTAAGTGCAATAGAGATCTTCACATAGGCAAAATAAATGAGCTCCAGAAAGGTAGTCTAAAGTTATAGAAATGCATTAAACAAACCTTTATTAAAACACAAGATATCTTTGTCTCTCAGAAATGTTCAGTCAAAACATTGAACAAGAAAAGAAAAGAAGGAATAGAAAGTTGGCCATCACATTAATAATCATTGGTGTGGTCCGTCTGGGAGGCAGTGGCAGGAGGGTTGTTTGAGGCCAGGAGTTCAACTAGCCTGAGCAATAAAGTGAGACACTAAAATCTACAAAACAATCAAAGAATTAGCTGGGTGTGGTGGTGTATGCTGATGGTCCCAGCTACATGGGAGGCTGAGGCAGGAGGTTTGCTGGAGCCCAGGAGGTCCAGGCTGCAGTGAGCTGTGTTCACGCCATTGCACTCCAGCCTGAGTGACAGAGTGATATGGTTTGGCTCTGCATCCCCACCCAAATCTCATGTTGGATTATTATCAGCAATGTTAGGGGCAGGACATAGTGGGAGGTGATTGGATCGTGGGGGCAGATTTCCCCCTTCCTGTTACCATCATAGTGAGTGAGCTCTCACAAGATCTGGTTGTTTGAAAGTATGTAGCACTTCACCACTTCCTATCTCTCTCTCTCTTGCCAGTCACGTGAAGACACGCTTACTTCCCCTTTGCCTTCTGTCATGATTGTAAGTTTGCTGAAGCCTCCCCAGAAGCAGAAGCTTGTACAGCTTCATCCTCCATTCTTCCAATGGGCAAGTCTAGGACCATTCTGCATGCTTCTCAGAGATTCAAAAGGATGAAGCTCTTGTTACCTTCTGTGGCAACGTCAATAATGCACACTTACATGAGCTTTTCTTTCTTCCATTTGCCACTGTCTTTTTTTTCTTTCCCTCTCCCATAAATAAACTAGCTGCATCAAATCTTGTCTCAGTCTCTGCTTTTGAGAGAACTTCCAAAAAAAAATGGTCAGCAGAACATGTGTTGATTGAATGATTGATCAACTGAATGATTGAAGGAAAGAGTTATCATCTTTCTAATCTGAGCAATAAGCTTTTGATGACTTTATACCTACAGTATTCAAATTGTGTTTCTTCCTTTGGCTATTTAGAAATGCATGAGAAGAAAATCAGAGAGGGTAAGTGGTTGTAAACCAGATGAATAAATGCAGTTACCAGATGTTCATTTTAAATTTAAAATTAATGTGGTGAAAAAGTATATAGTTTGTCAAAAGGGTCTATGGAATGGAAAATATTAATAAGAAGAATGCCTTATAAATGATGTACTCCCCAAACAGCTGAGTATACAAGATAAATTCATTTTCAAAGCCCTCGTGTCATTAACAAACTACTCATGCTTTTCTCACTAGGCTTATGGATTCTCCAGGACCTTCTGTGCATTGCCTCACATGGTAAAGATTCATTAACTTTGCTTCCCTATTTTGTTATTGTTTGACCCCTGAATTAATCTGTCTCTGTAGAATTTCCATCACTATTTTTTTTTCCAGACCAAATTACAGAAGAGTAAATTCAATCTGAGTGACAAATGTTGAACAAGTTCTCACTACTTCCAGTATTATTTGGAGTTGCTTGTAAGCCAGCACAGGTAGCATAAAACAAAGCTTGCCATTTATCAGTAGTTTGTATGCTTTAACAGGATGTTTCATGGAGAGTTGTCTTACTGGTACAGGAGGAATTATCCAGGTGCTAATTATAAACTTCAAGTTTAGGTAAAACTAAATTAAATTAGTATGATTAGGTTGGAGTGCAGTAGTTCTGGGTGAAAATGAGCCTTTCTGAAAAGAGCAGTTTGCTTTCCCTTGTGTCACTTACAGCATATCTAAGGGAAAGGCATAAAACTCATTTTTAAATTTCTGTATGAATTAGATTTATTCATACAGCAAAGTGTTAAGAATCAGGTTTGTGAATGTGTGAAGTGAATCAGAAACATACATGGGCCATGTGTATCTTCCAATGCTTGGTTAAATTAGCAAGATTTCCATTTGTGAGGAGTTTGATCTCACAGTGATACCCAACACAAGCGATATTTACAGATAAATTTTCAAGAGTCATGCTAATTGTTATATTACATGAAAACCAAATTTATGAATTGGGCCACACATTTGAAGTTTAATCTGTGCATATGTATGGATTTTAAAATATATGTGTGTTATAAATTATGTAGTGATCTGTTTTGTAATGTTTTCATTAGAATTTCTACAAGTTATTTTCATCATATGTAAGTCTTTTTTTTAATGCAATTTTTTTCCTTTGCATGTACTGATTTCTGTTTCAAGCCAAGTATTAAAAGCATTTAAAAAAATACCAGTATGTATTTTTTTCTTCATGTATCTCAGTTCTTTCTTAAATTTTACTTGCTTTTTTCAAAAATTATACCTTATGAGGCATAATAAAGCCTTGGTTCTGTGTCTGCTTCTCAGTGGTTCAAGGTTGCTACTCAACTCCAAGGCAGATAACTGAAACTCCAATACAGCAAGGCATTCCCAGAAAGCAGTCTTTAAGGTTTGCTTCATTCCTGTTTTTACCTATTCTGAACTTCCAAATCTTAAGTCAAGGAGAGCCCACCTTATTTAATGGTTTAAAAAGAAGAAACATCACTATTATTACAACCCATTCAGATTTTAACTCTGAGTGGAACTAAATAGTTAGTGACTTTATTCTGCTTTGTTTGCTGCTATCTTGCTAGTGTCTAGAACAGTGCCTGGCACATGGTGGAAACTCAATAAATATTTTTAAGTAACTATAACATCATTAATTATAGGCCAGTATTAACAATAATTATCATTTTATTGATTTATTACAAGTACTCTCTGAAAAAGATCAGGCCTTTCTATTTTAATTTTGAGTTGTTCAACTAGACCCAACTGTTTTGTAAAACAATTTGAAACTTGGCAAATCCCAAAGCACAACTGGCAGGCTCAGCTTGGCAGAGCTTACCAGCCCAGCACTTACCCTTATGCTTCTCTGCCCATGGCTCTCACAGTGACCAGCATGGGCCTGGCAGCTAGCCGTTTGAAATATTTTTGAATTGTTGACACTGCTAGGCATATATTCGTTTTACCCCTGTACCTACCTAACCTCTGCATGCTGAATTTTAGAGTCTGATCCTTTTGGATGAGGTCTCATATGTAGAATCTCCCAAACACATAATTAGCTACATGCACTACAATAATACACATGGGCACTGATGATAATTTGGAGTCCACCCTCACCAAAGAAAAAGTGTTAATGATCAATCAGCATGGTGAAGGAAGAGTCTCTGTCCTGGTCAGGATGACAGCAGCATTCTCTGCAGGTAATAATGACATTAGAAATATTTCAAAACTCTCTCAGTGGAAAGAATATCTAACTTAGGGTACACTAGCTTGCAGTATCAAGTAGACAAGACATATAATCATCTAAATAAGAAAAAATTATTTCTCACTCAAAATCAGCTCTGCTCCGTGCAGTCCTGTCTATGATAGCAGGGATTGCATCATCTTCTATATGTGGTTTTCAATGTTGCCCTGGAAGAAGTCTCTATTCTAAACATAGGGAAGAGAAAATGGATTACTTTGAGGGGTAAATTCTTATTGACCATACCTGGAATTCGTATCTCAATTGTGTTCACATTCTATTGGTAAGAACTCAGTTGTCGTACCTAACAACAAGGGAGGCAGAGGAATAGAGTCCAGCTGCACATGTTCACTAGGAAGAAATAGATGGTGGCAGTCATGAAAATTTGCTGCTCAGGCCTCCCACAGTGTAGAGTATAATATACTATTGTCCCCAGCTGCTGTCCCCACAGGTCCACCGCTGTGTTTGTACTGAAGCAACACTTTGGATAGGCTGCTGTTGGCCAATGACTGAGCATGTCAGGATATGACGCCAGGCCTACTCTTGTGAGACACAGAACTCCTCCTAAGAATGACTTTGGCTTGAGAACTCCCTCTTGGTCTGGCCAAATCTTTCTTAGAACTGCACTGCATTCTAAATTTCTTCCTACCTAATCCTGCTTTCTTCCTCTTCTCCGTCATAGGGGTCAAATCTACAGGCTCTGTCCACCTTCTCTGGTTTCCTCCACTTTATCCTCTACTGGTATTTCTCCCCAATACATCTCTTGCATATCTACTCTCATCTTGGTTGTGTTTCTCATAGGACTCAAACTAACATGGAAATTCTGGTATGTACCTAATTGTTGCAGCCAAATTATGCTGTTCTAATCAACATTTGTACCCATTTCTCTATTTAGGAAACAAACTAAAACTCTCCCTCTCCAAAGAGGTTCTGACTTGCTATATCTAGATAAAACTCCAGAACATCTTAGTGACATGTAGTCCTTTCCATCAGAGCCCAATGTGACCCGCATTGTCCTATGACCAAAAATCTGAAAAGACCAGTACTCTTTGTCACCATTCCTATATACACACCCAATGATGGAGCGGAGATGATATAGCCACAATAAACTGCAATCTATTACAGAAGAGAAAAGAAACAAAGCAGTTACTGGAAAACAAACAAACAAAAAAATTATCAGAGAAAGCTATTATTAAAATGCCCTATGTCACTAGAAAAGAGAAATCCACGATAAGACTTTGAATTTGTTCTTCCTGAGAACACCTTATTTTTGCTCAGTTTAGCCTCTGTTCTGCCCTCTGGGAGGTTCTACCTGTATTTCATCCTCTGTGATCAGATTTGAAGTGGGGACTGAAGAGGCTGCTCTCTGAGGACCATAGAACTTTCCCAGCCTAATTCCTGGTAGTCAAAATTTAGAGGCCTCCAGGTTGCTTTATAGTCACAGGCTTTTTCAGGCAGGTCTCAGTGTCTCTTGGAAAAATTCAGTTCCCTCAAACACTTTTCTTAATGTACAGTTCTTAAATCTGATTTTTGTTTTTTCTGTTGTTGTTGCTTTCCCGCCACAAGACTTCTCTCTCACAACCTAATGACAACTGAGATGAGAACACAAATAAATAAGCTCGAATAAGAAGACAACACCCTTAATCTGATTTCAGCTGAGCTATGTGTTCCTTTGTTGAAGTGAGAAATCTTAATGAGCTTTTGTTGTTCAAAAACCTGTTTTAATATTATTTCTTGTACAACCCAAAGCCTGGAAAGTCAGTATTTATCATCTCAAAGAACTCCAAGTTATTCTTTTTCATCTCTTCTCTTAAGCTGGACAATTTTTGCTTGAGCTCAGCCACTTGTAATATCTTGTTAAATGCAAGAAGTAAAAGACAGTCTGGCTTTTTGTCTAATACTCTCCAACTAATAATTTTCTCCCCATTGGAGGACAGCTCTCAACCAAAGACTTACGGAAGAGGAAAGATAAACATCCTAGCTCCCATATTCCTTGCCTGAGCTAACTCTGAGAATTGTTTCTGCAATGTGTCCCAAGATTCTCAGTAGATTTAAGCTCCAGTTGCCCATAATGGTAACTTGGCTGATAACACAATGTTTGTTGGCTCTCTTTCCTTTGCTGTCTCACTTCCCCACTCTCCTATTATGTTTCCTGAGATCCTCTCTCACATAAACTATGTGCATTCAAATGCTTTTCTCAGGGTCTGCTTCCAGAAGAACCTAAACTAAAACATCATTGGTTTTATACTGTCTCTCTGAAAGAGTGCCTAGCACACAAAATATAGGAAAAAAAAAAAAAAAAAATCAT